TCATTTCTGCTGAAACGTTGCACACAAGTATGTATGTAATATGATTCAGTTGTCCAGAGAATCGGAAACTTCATTCATTTTCAGTGGAGAAGAAAAATCTACTATTCGTCTACGAGCCAGAAGTCGTTCATCTTCAGCTTTCAGTGTCATCGTATAAGTACAGTTTTTGCCAGTACAACTCATTCACGCACTCCATCATCCTCCAGGTGACATCGCCGTGAGTGGCAAGGTCTGTTCTGAAGTATACAAACCGAGGTAAGGAAATGGGAACATAACAACACTCGCCAAAAATTGAGCGAACCACCTCACCGGGAGAACACACACGTTCGTCTCTAAGCAGATTACCGGTCCGCCCATTATGATGAATTGATCGACATAAATTCGTGGTATTAAACATAATGTATTACCTGTCAGCATGTCATTTAGCGTAAATTTTCACTCCAATTTCTCACCTACACGCCCCGGGGTGGTAACAACAGTCTCGAAAAGGTGTGCCAGCGAGTGTATCATTTATGTGCGGTGCTTTCATCATCGTTGACTCGTCTACAACTGGGAAAAGCGAAGGTGGTTCATGATAAAAAAAAACGACTTCTTCCTTTTGCTGAACACAGACAGACAAACCCAGCCAAGAACAGGCGAAAGAGTTGTCTGAGACACAGTGGAATATCACGTCTGGCAGAGCCGATTTAGATGTTTGTTTTGAACCAATCTTGTTTTGCGGTCGATCCAAAGGTTACCTCCTGCGTTTAACTGAGGTTTACTTTTCCGGGGAGGATTATGGCAACGATGGCAACCGACAGCCGAGCGTCGTCGGTCGATGGAGATGGGTCGGAGGGTCACAACACAGAGAAGTGGTGAAAAGTAGGTTTTGCTGGATTGTTTCCGACGTGAATGGAATGCTTTGTGGGATCGAATTTGGGACAACAGGATTAAGATGGCTGCTGAATCGATTTTGTTTGCTGGTGTAATCGGGCAGTTGGTAATTCGAGTTACAATGTTTGGATGGTAAACTGAAGAAGGAGATGTGCTTGAATGACGTTTAGACTGATTTGTATGTTCAAACAAGGCATCAGGATCGGGGATGAGAGTTATTGGGGCAAGATGGCTGTACGAGTATTCTGCAGTCAGTTGATGATGACGATGATCCGGCCACTAGTTCGGACGATTATACACTTTACCTTGATTTTTTTTTAAATTAAGGAAGACCATATAGGTTCACAAACAAACCCGATTGGGATAGAGAATGTGAAGTGAAATGAACAATAGATGTGTTGAAGTGCTGCTAGCATGATTTATTGGTAAATAGGACAGCGACAATTGGGTATGTTTCAACTTTATATTAACACATATAATGAAGGTTGAATGTCCCTAATGTCGACCTAAGTGTCCTTAATATTGAGCCCATACATAAATTTCGACGGAAGCATTTTTTGACAATTATTCTCCAGCAATCAAAATTATACATTTGTTTTGTTCAGATGACGAATTTTTCTACGAAAAATGTGTTATTGGTGTATGTTTATTTGAAAATTTTGTAAAATCCATAATAGTATCCTGAAGAATGTTGTCATCTTAGTGAAAATCTGTAAAAAAAAGACTGTCGAGTTTTAGAACAAGATGCTGAAGAAGTCTGCATATTGTAGACGAAATACGCGTATCTGTCAAGGTTAAGCAATTAAGTTAGTGTAATGCAATGGAAATTACTAATCCTTCTCTCTTTACCCAAAATATGATTTTTGTTTTAAATTTTGTATTTCTGATAATTGATTCAAGATTTCAAATGTTTTCTATAGCCCAGGATTTCAAAAGTATTCTGATCATAAGCCCCCTCTTTAACTTTTTAAAGATACGTAATACGTAATGATAAAGGAATCAAACATATCTCCAAATGACAAAATGACAAGCGATCAACGATCCGAATGATATCGCTATGTCAGAAGTGGAAAGCAATAATGATATAATCTTCTTCATTCATTTTCATGACAAGCGGCCCGCGCTACACAGCTCACTCGGGGCGGTAGAAGGAAACGAACAAATTGTTGGCAAGCCGTTTCAAGAAGCAAAGCCGAAGATGATACACGTGTGTTAGTGGGAATTTTTTTGTTATGTCTGTTCTCGATTCAGATCAAGCTATGTCCTCATCCGTGTATATTGCAACAAAGCAGGCAAGCAATATATCATTATCCTTCTACCACTCCGATCGAGTTGTGTTACAGAGTGATATTGTCGGCAGAATGGATGCAGGGCGTCTTGGTAAAAGTCCCCAAGAAGGGGGATTCAACTGTATGCGACAACCGGCGAGGCATCATGTTACTGTGTATTGTTCTCAAAGTTCTGTGTAAAAAGCTGCAGGTGTTTATCAATCGATGCCTGCGGTACATAGTTCGTGCCTGGTGGCCCCACAATTGGATCTCAAATTCCGAGCTTCATCGGTTGTGCCATCAGAAGCCGATAGAGACAGAAATTCGTGAACGGAAGTGGAGGTTGGTCGGCCACACACTACGACGGAGCGGAAACGAAATCTGCAAGCAAGCACTGGACTGGAATTCAGCAGGACATCGCAGCAGAGGCAGACCCAGAGGCTCGTGGCGGCGGAACCTAAACAGTGAAATTAAGAACGTTGACCGAAATTTGACTTGGACACAGGTCAAGACCAAAGCTAGTAATAGCCCAGGATGGAAATCTTTCACAAAGACCCTTTGCACCCCTGGAGGTGCGCAGGATCGTCAAGTAAAGTAAGTACACAAAGAGTTTAGTTTACAGAAGTTGGTAAAATTTTACTGGGTTTTTAACAGCTGAGTAATCTGTAATCAACGCAGTAGTTTTTACGTTAACTGAAAGCCCCGTAAATTGCATAATTTCTGAACTAAAAAAACTACAGTGTAAGTCAGTAAAACATTGCTGTCATTAGTGATTTATTTGTTTCATTTTTTTGCTGAATTTGTCAGTACTTTACTTATACTTTCATTATTTTGAGAAATGAGTCTGTAAATTCTTAAAAAAAAAAAAAAAGATTTACTAGTAGTAAATGATTTGTTTGGGCTCAATACGATGGGTAGGATTAAAATTATTCTAATTTTAGATGATTTTTATTTGGGGACTGAGGTTAACATGTTAAGCGATTCCTGGTGTAATGAATACTGAAAACTCGGTACTTTGTTTTACTGAGTTGTATGCATTTACCGTAAAGCAGTTATTTTACGGAAAATTCAGTAGTTTCATTGAGAATAGCTGAATGTTCGGTACTTTTTGTGATTTACAGTTCGAAAACTGTAAAACAAAATACCTAACAGGGAAACCGTGATTAAGTTTGTACCTTGATAAAACCAAAGTTTGGTAAGCTGGATGTGTGTGTGTGAAATATGAATGTCAAATTAGGTACAAGCGTTAGCCAGCCAAAAAAGGACAATCAATTGTCTCTCAATCCTCACCACGTTCGGACAAAAAATATAAAGTTAAAGAAAAGTGAACCGCGTGTTTTAATTGTTTGTGAAGTGGGATTCGATCTGTTTAGAAGAATTTTCGGTGATTCCTGTGGAAGTGAATATGGAAAACTGGATGAACAAGCAAGAGCTTCAGGAATGGTTAAAGGCACACGAAGTTGAGGTTCCGACTTCAGCAACCATTCAACACCTGCGAGCTCTGTATGACAACTGATAAGTATACGGTCACATGTAAATATCTGTAAATATCACCCAACATTTGTAAATATTTAGCATTAAGTCACATTGAATTCAAAGCAAAACAAACTAGAGTAGTTAAGCCTAACACAAATTTAAATAACAGAAAACAGATTTAAATCACCAACCGTCACCACAATAATACACTACACTGTATGATCGACCCACAAGCTATTGTACATGCAAAACCCATTCAATGAAAACAAAGTTACACAATCCCATCAGTACAAAATATAAAGTCAAAGCAACCAGTAGCAAACCCAAGTCGTTCCCTTTATTCAGAGCAGTGCAGTACAATTCGAGTAATCTCACGAAATCCGAAATTGATCTCGGTGGTGGCCAAAGGTGGCAATAAATCGATCACGGAATCGATTGAGTGCGTATATTTCGTGCGTGATAATCACAGTGAGTGATTCGTGACGAATAAACCCCACGACGGTCATTAAAGAAGCATTGCGATAGTGAAGTGTGCTATAGTGGCGAATTACCCTTTCCCGTGGTTTGGTGTGCCGCTATTGGAAATAGCGGGTAGTAATACCTCCGGTGGCCGGTAGTTAGATCTCCACGATCGAACATTGGTCCTTCGAGCCGGATCGGAGGAAGCATCCCAGCCCAAATCGACGCGCGAATAGTCTGGAATTCGCCATCGTGGTAAGTGGTCAGAGGACGTTGACCACAGAAGGTAGGCCATTCAACCCATGCCCTATTGATTGGCAGTTTGCTGCAATTGCTAACGGCGCCAAATTTTGCCCCCAGTACGGAATGTGATAGTACGTACTGTGTGAGGAACAAAGGTTTGCATGAAGTTCAAAGGCGAAGAACGATCGAATCGTTTCTATCTATAGGATAGGCGCAACGTAGAAGTTTTGTATTTATCAGCTGTAGTGGCACATAGGCTCGTTCAATTAGCCAATTTGATAAATAGCCTTAGGTGTGCTTTACAGTGTCGCACACACTTGTTGGCACGGTGGAAAACCTACAAAATCGATAGACCTAAATTGATTTCAAGCTTCCTACGATTGTGCGGTGGCGTTCTAGCGGATCCGCGAAACGTATGAAAGGAGACTCGTAATCGCGTCGGGAAGGATTATTCGATTATTCGTTACTAAATTACGTGATCTCTTTCGGTCGTTCGTTCGGTGTCCGTGTAGAAGCACCACGTGTCGCGACGGGAAGGAAATATACGTACGAAATCCGTGGTGTTTCCGTCGTAATTCGCGGTTGAGCAGCACAACGCGACGGGAAGGATATATCGTTCGATTTCTTGTGTTGTTCACGTTTCGGTGCGCGCAGTCAAGTGATTCGTGGTGGTAGTAAGTGATGGCATCAAAGAAGGAGAAGAAGCTGACTGAGGATAAGCTAGTCCTGAAACGGATATTGGCACTTCGAGATGTGGTGGAAAGGTTCGTGGCGGAATACAACCACGAGCGGGATTCTGGAGAAGTTTCTGTCCGCCTTGACACGTTGGATAGGACGAATAAGGAGTTTCATCATGTACAGTCGGAGATAGAGAAGTTGGATGCAGCGGAAAACTTCGAGCAACACATGGAGATGCGGACCGATTTCGAGAATCGCTTCTGCAGGCTGAAGGGCTTTCTTCTCTCCAAACGGGAACGGAACCAACCTCTCCTGAACTCAACAATGTCGTCTGCATTTGCGCCACCTCACAATTCGACCAGTTTCCACCATCGACTACCAAAAATCGATATGCCGAAGTTCTCTGGAGATGAATCGCGCTGGATTTCATTTCGGGACAATTTCCTCTCCATGATCCATAGCAATGATGACATTCCGACGGTCAACAAGTTGCAATATTTGCTACAATCACTAGAAGGAGATGCCAGAAAACCCTTTGAGAGTGTAGATATCCAAGCGGACAATTACGCATCAACTTGGGAAGCGCTGATGAAGAGATACGATAACAAGCGGTTCTTGCGGAAAGAGTTATTCAGACGGTTGTTTGAATTGTCGCCGATGAAACGTGAATCAGCTCTGGAGCTGAACACTTTGGTGGATGATTTCCAACGTCATGTGAAGGCTTTGGGGAAACTTGGCGAACCCATTGTGCATTGGGACACTCCTCTCACATTCATCCTATGCAGTAAGCTCGATTCATATACGTTACGCGCCTGGGAGCAAGAGACTCGACAGAAAGACGAAGTTAAGTATGATGAATTGATTGAATTCTTAACGCAACAAGTACGCATGTTGAAGTCAGTATCCAACGATCTGCAACATCGTTCTCGAGGAGCTAGCACTAATGTGGTTGGTGTCACCCCGAAGAAGGTCTCTACAATCAAGTCCATTGTCAACACTGTTACAAACGAAGCCAAGCCGAATGCTGCGCAATGTCATGCGTGCTCGGAGAAGCACCAGCTGTTTCAATGTCAGACGTTTGCTAACCTACCTGTCATGCAGCGTCGTGAGTTGATATCGCAGCGAAGTCTATGTTGGAACTGTTTCCGCCCGAACCACCAAGCGAAGGTGTGCAAATCAAAGTTCTCATGCAGATCGTGTCACGCTAAACACCACACGTTGTTGCATGACCAAGCTGCACCTCCAAAGGTGTTACCGAATCCTGTACCCAAGGCTACTACCGCCGGCCCGTCGAATACACCTACGCAGCAACCAATTCTAACCACGTCAGCGAACGTGGGGACCGTTGGATCATCGAGTCCACCCAAAATGAACCTCTCCGTCCAGTCAAGCAGAAGCACGGTCCTCTTGGAAACGGTTGTGCTCAACATCGTCGACAAGCACGGTAAAGAAATATCTATTCGAGCTCTGCTCGATTCTGCTGCGATGTCAAACTTCATTACCAAGAAGCTGGCAAATGCACTTGCCACCCGTCAAGCCCCGGTCGATGTCGCAGTAGCCGGAATAGGAGAATCTGTGAAGCAAATCAAGCGGCAAATCGCAGCAACGATTAAATCACGAACCACGTCCTATTCCACCACACTCGAGTTCCTGATCATGAAAAAGCCCACGGCCAATCTACCAACGATTGCCATCAATTCCGCATCGTGGAACATACCAAAGGTTTCACTGGCCGATCCAACCTTCAACGTTCCAGGCATGATCGACATTATCATCGGTGGAGAGTGTTATCATGAGATGCACACTGGTAACCGCCTGTCACTCGGTGACGGTTTACCTTTCCTAATCGACACCCTTTTTGGATGGACAGTATCTGGAAAAACTGCCATCAATTCCGCTGTTTCTCCACCCGCCTGCTACTTATCGACTGTCGATCGATCCCTCGAAACAACGCTTCAGAGATTCTGGGAACTCGAAGCTGTCGATCATGGCCTGGCGTATTCCACTGAAGAAAAGCAATGTGAAGAAATCTATGCCAATACTACCACCCGAACTCACTCCGGAAGGTACGTCGTACGCCTTCCTCGGTCCGAAGATCCGCAAGTCACCCTCGGCGAATCTCGAGCAATTTCCACCCGTCGTTTCCACAGTCTCGAGCGACGCCTAGAGAAAGATTCCGCCTTAAAGCAAACCTACCACGAGTTTATCGACGAATATCTACGCCTTGGCCATATGCGGAAACTCACTATTGTTGACGACGATTTGCCACACTGTTACCTACCACACCACCCGGTGTTCAAGCAGAGTAGTACCACCACCAAGGTCCGTGTGGTGTTCGACGCCTCCTGCAAGACCTCTTCCGCAGTATCACTGAACGACACGCTTCTCGTTGGTCCAGTTGTACAACAGCATCTCGTCAACATTACCATTCGCTTCCGCTTCCATGCTATCGCCTTCGTTGCCGACGTGGAAAAGATGTATCGACAAGTTCTTCATTATCCCATTGATCAGCAGTTGTTGCGCATCCTGTTTCGTCGTAATCCGTCGGATCCACTCGACACATATGAACTCCTCACAGTCACATACGGTACAGCATCAGCTCCATACTTGGCAACTCGAACCCTGCTACAGTTGGCCAAAGACGAAGGAGACAAGTATCCGGAAGCCGTTCAACCTGTCATCGAAGATTTTTATGTTGATGACCTTCTCTCCGGTGCAGACAACATGGATGCTGCTATCGAAAAACGTCGCCAAATCACGGATATGCTTGCATCAGCTGGATTCCCATTGAGAAAGTGGGCGTCCAACGTTCCGGAAGCTTTGACTGGAATACCACTCGAAGACTTGGCAATCAAACCCCTCTTCGATTTGCAAGATGACCAATCAGTGTCCACGCTTGGACTTGTTTGGGATACAAGAACGGACATGTTGAGATTCAACGTCGAAATGCCACTTCCTGCAGCGGTGCTTACAAAGCGTAAGGTAATATCATACATCGCTAGAATCTTCGATCCACTAGGCCTCGTCGGCCCGGTTATTGCTACTGCTAAGATGTTTATGCAACGGCTCTGGAAGCTAAAAGGCGAGGATAATCAACCCTACGAGTGGGACAGACCTCTTCCACCGAAACTGCAAGAAGAATGGAAAAGATATCATGCCACGCTGGACATCCTCTCGGAACTACGAATTCCTCGTTTCGTTTCTTTCGCCGATGCACCCAGAATTCAGCTTCATTTGTTCTCCGATGCGTCAGAGTTGGCATACGGCGCCTGTTGTTACGTTCGTTCTGAGAATGATGATCGTATCCACGTGCAACTCTTGACATCCAAGTCAAAGGTTGCTCCACTCGCCACTAAACATTCCATCGCTCGACTTGAGCTCAGCGCTGCTGTGCTATCCACCAGACTCTTCCAGAAGGTAGAACAATGGATACGAGCCACGTTTGATGTTTTCTTCTGGACAGATTCTACCACAGTTCTCCAATGGCTCAATTCTACACCGAATCGCTGGAAAACATTCGTGGCTAATCGAGTGTCAACAATCCAGTCAAACACAGAAGGATATTCCTGGAAGCACGTTCCCGGAAGTGACAATCCCGCTGATGAATTATCGCGAGGATTGACGCCTATTGATCTCCGTAACCAATCTCGATGGTGGAACGGACCATCATGGCTCTCACAACCTCCGAGTCATTGGCCACACGCAAGCCTACCAGATGAAGAATATCCATCGGTCGCCGAAGAAGCACGCAAGGTTACATTAGTGACTTTGCATAACGAACAACCCCAATTCGTCGATCAACTATGTTCCCGCTATTCTACGTACAGCAAACTCCGTCGTATTGTAGCGTACTGTATCAAATACATCCAATCACTCAAGGCTGCAGTGCATAAGTCCACCGAAAACCAAACACTACTTCTCTCAACAACCAATCTCGTAGATGCTGATCGTGCATTAGCCCGTCTAGCACAACAACAAACGTTCTGTGATGAGTTAGCTGAACTTCAAACCTCTTCCGTTGTGAAAGGTGCTCCGTTGAAATGGTTGAAGCCTCACTTGAGTGACGATGGACTCCTCCGTGTTGGAGGCCGGCTTGAGCATGCTTGTGTATCAGAAGCAAGCAAACATCCTATCATCTTGTCAGCTAAACATTCATTGTCTCGTTTACTCTGCGAACATTACCACAAGATTCTCCTCCACGCTGGTCCCCAGTTAATGATATCTACCATACGCCAAAAATAATGGATAATTGGAGGAAGAGATCTAGCTCGGCACACCTATCACCGTTGTGTCAAATGTTTCCGCATTAAGCCTACCCTCATCCAACAAAGCACAGCTGACCTGCCAAGTTCCCGTGTAACGCCAGCGCGCCCATTTTCCATTTGTGGCGTAGATTATTGTGGTCCAGTGTTTCTCAATTCGCCAATTCGAAATCGTCCGCCAACCAAAGCATATATCGCAATCATCGTGTGCTTTTCCACCAGAGCCGTGCACATTGAATTGGTATCAGACCTCTCAACGCCAGCATTTCTATCCGCGCTACGTCGTTTTGTTGCTCGTCGCGGCCGTATCCAAGAACTCCACTCCGATAATGGAACGGCTTTCAAGGGTGCCGCAAATTCAATGCACCGCGTCTACGAGATGCTGAAGGCCAACAACACTGACCGTGAAATGATCAGCAACTGGTGTGCAGAGCAAGAAACCAAATGGAAATTTATACCGCCACGCGCCCCGCACTTCGGAGGATTGTGGGAAGCCGCGGTGAAATCATGTAAACATCACCTACTACGAGAAACCGGCCATACGTCCTTCACCCAAGAAGACATGATAACACTATTGGCACAAATAGAAATGTGTCTAAACTCACGGCCATTGACTCCGATACCCAGCGATTCCGCCGACCTCGAAGTGTTGACACCAGGCCACTTCCTTGTTGGTTCGAATCTCCAAGCAGTCCCGGAAGCCAACATCGCCGAAATTCCAGATAACCGCCTAGATCACTGGGAACGTACCCAAAAGCATTTTCAACGAATCTGGGCAAGGTGGTATCCAGAATGGCAGCTATGTTTTGCATCAATAAAGCAGCGAAAATGTTCCCCCAAAATAAAAAAAACGCTCCATTAAAGTTGATACCGTGATCTTTACGATGTGTAAGAAATGTGCATATAGGCATGAGAAATTTCCGTAGATATTGAAATAAAGCACACTTTAAATCATGAAAATGCTCCATTAGAAAAGTGATGTTCCTTATTTTCCGTTCAGGAATGATACATGTTAAATGAAGCTGTAGTCCCTATATTAAAGTAAAATTCCCATACAAGAAGAAACATTGCATCATAAACTTTGGGTATTTTCACCATATGACAAGGACAGTGCACCGTAAAAAGTCATGCTGGCTAATTAAAAAGACCACAAAAAACATATATAGGATAAGTTATTGCTCCTTATTTGCTGTATATTGCCCTTTGGAAATAATAGACGATATCGCTCGGAAGACTATGAAGGATGCAAATAAAAGTTACCACCAACGCACCCCTCGGTAACATAATAAATCGTGGATAATGGTCACCCTATTTGTTTTCAATCGCGATCAACTGTAACAACCAAAAACAAATAATCACACTATTGAGCTGCAAATGCTCCTTCATAAAATAAAAAAATACAGCACAAAGAGAGAGTCATTATCCCTTGTAAATGCAAATGCTCCATTAATTACTCCGAGTTAACAGCCACATTTTCTACCATTTTAAAAGCGTAAATGCTCCAATATTTTTTAGAAAGGCTCAATCAATTCAGCTAAGCACACTATTTTTATTTGGCTGTTTTTTTCGGGAAATGCTCCCTTAATCCTAGAAAAATGCTCCTTTGCTATTTTTTAACACGATGCGCTGGTCATCCAGAATTAAGAGCGATGAATGGAATCCTTCAAAGCAAATACAGTAATGACCCGATTTCGTCAGCCCCTCTGCGCATCAGACTATTCTTTCAATAATTTCACATAACAGTAATTCCAAATCTTTCTGATTCTTCTTCAAGGTGGATGCTTAAGGATGGATTTATGTGCAATAATACTACAGAAAAAGTGCATGGGTTTCGTAGCAACTAGTGAATCGTTCTTCTTGCTAGCTTGCTGCTTTTCCTGATGCAATCGATTAATACAAGATTTACTTAGTTGTAATTAAAAACGACAATTGTAGCAGTGTTGGATTAAAAATACAGCGCTGCTACAATTATGTCTGTCACGAGAACAAAGCCAATACAAGTTTTTTACAATTGATCGATCTACAAAAATCTACATGGAACTGATTGGCTTTTCTATTCAATATAACTACTTATACACTTTCGGTGTTCAAAAGAAGACAAAGTTTGTATAGTTTGAAAATGCATATTTTATTTATACCTTCATAAATTTCGTACGTAAGAGAAATTATTATGGACGAAGCTCTTCAAATAACTATGTCATCCAGAGGAGGGAGTGGTTGTATCCAAACATCTTAATTTTTTCTCATACGGGAAGGGGTGGGGGAGGCTTAGGGAGTGTGCTTTGGTGAATCATAAAAATTGAAAAATAATGCTTACGTTATTATTTAACGGTCCCTTGTACAAATTTCAGTGTTCACATTAAAACAAAGCTTGACCTGTTTGAAAATTATAATTTATTCATACCTTCATATATCATGTGATTAAATCTATGTTGCGCTGATGATTTGATACAAATTTATTTTGCAATGTAGTCTAGCAGATTGTGACATTGTTACAGATTTATTAAATTTAAGTCGCGTACACAGTAGCCTGGTGTTGATGAAATGAAATGTTTCTGTTCAAATTGTTAGTTATAGCTATATAGTGTCTTTAGCAAGCATGTCCAGTGATGTGGTTAAGGTGGTTCTTACGGTTGATGAGTTCAAAATGTACAGTTTTTAGTTAAGTTAAAATTGATTGGCGCAATAAATTTGGTTTTTCCAAACTAAATAAAACAAAAAATATATTTATAGTTAAAATTGTGTAAATGACTTTTTACGATACATCTAAGAGAACATACTTTCATTCATCTACGGTACCCTTTCGAAAAGGGTATAATTTTATAATAAAAAGTTGTGTTTAACTGTCCAATAAAAAGATGTGTTGTATTGGTTGCTTCAGCAACATGTGTGCCAAATCTGGCGCTTTTATTTTAATAATAATATACATAGATTGTATTTTCGATGGAACTTATTAGCACGCCGAAGTTGAGTGGGATAGACGCACCAGTAATGAATGTGCTGTTATGGTGTGTTCCAATTATGGTGCATGGAATTTCCACATGCCATAACTTGAATACACCATAATAGGAACGTATTGTCATAACTGGTACATCTACAATACTTAAGTAACGAAGGTAAAGATGGAATGAAAATTGGAAACCTGAAACGTAAATTTAGTCATTAGAACAAATGATCTTCTCACAAGATACTCCCCTCTTTTCTGCGCGTCGAGTCAATATCATTCACTAGTGAAAATCAAATGAAGAGACACGTCACATGTCATCTAATTTAGTAAAGGAGAGTCACACGATTTTCAGAAAAGGGGGAATGTCAAATATTTAAAATTTTCTTGTTGAATATTAGGTCTGCTCCCGTGCTTTCTGCAATACACGATTTTCTTACAATTATAATTTACAGCAAACGTGAAAAAACAACAGGTCCGGAAGCAGACTTATTAATTAGTAACATCTAAAAAATTACCGTACCCTGCGTTGTTGAACTCGTTCAATCTCTAACCAGTGCTTTTGAGACGAATTTTGGACGACCCGTTGGTTTCTTGGAGCTGATTATTGTTGTGTTCGCCTCCGGGCGAAGTTGGTAGACTCTTTGCTTCACAGCAGCGACCAATATATGGTGACAAACGTTTGCTTTGAAGAATTCGATGCATGTGCAGTTCCATTTTAGGTAGCTTTCATCCGTGATTTGAACGCGGAAAACTGTTCCGATTTCTTTCGAAAACTGCTCAATGGACGTGAATTTGGGATGACAGAATCTAGCAATATCTTGTGCGGTCAGATCCATGCGTCCTCTGCCCGGCAAAAATACGTATGTCGTTAATCCATCTTGTACAGTTCGAACGGTTCCTCCACTGTTAATGTATAGGAATGCTTTTCGTTCCTCTTGAATCGTAAAAATGCGGGCTTCGCATATCTGTCTCGCCGGATCGCCATATGCCTCTATTATATCACAAATCTTCTCCTTGAAGGTTCCGAGTGGCTCCTTCTTTCGATGAAGATAGTTGTGTTTTATCGACTTGTTTATTGCTTCTACAGCGTTGTTCGTCGACGGTACACCCGGAGAATGTGCCTCGTGCCATCCGGAAAAGTTAGAATTATCAACGTACTTACGGAAGAACACTAGCAATTCCTTATTGTTGCTGTACTTTTCAAAAAATAGCTCGACAGCTTTCACATAATGCTTTTGAGTAGGAGCAACCTGTATTTGGCTTATCTCCTTTTCGATACAGGACTTTTCAATCTCTTCTAACGACGACTTCCTCAAGTTCTTTTTTAAGTTCTCCCGCAAGTGGAAGTAACAGTTGATGGGTGTACATGTTGCGAACATCGATATTGCCGCCGACTTTAGAGCTATCTCACCA